TTGGAAAGAGCCTCTCACTAACACTCTTGGGTATAGACACAGAGTCAAGGGAGGAAAGGAGGCTTGGTAGGAAGGGGATAATCCATTATAGGAAAGATAGTGTGAGATGCAATGAGCGGTACACTTCCTCTTCCATTTTTTGAGGGCAATAGGGAGATCAAGGTCATATGCAATGGCATTAGGAGCAGGGGTAGTAGTATCAATAGGAACTAAACCATCAGGGGGAACAAGAGGCATACCTGGGTCTATGTCAATCGACCCTGGAATCTCCAACGAGTCGATAGGGAGTGACATGTGTTCCTCTACTATGGAATCAATCTCCCTGTGCTGTCGTAGATGCTGTCGTGTAAAACATTGAGAGACGGGACGCAATGGAGGTGGCAAAGTGGGTGAGATTGCTAGGTCAGACGCTAGAGTAGACAAAGGAGCTGGAATAGGAAGTGGTATAGATTTCTCACTTCCTTTTCCAAAACACTCCCCCTGAGAAGAACCCCCCGAGAAAAAAAGGTGTGGACTCAAAAAAGGTGACATCCATAGTAACATAACGACTCCTGGAGATTGGATCATAACAACCATACCCCTTCTGATTTCCTGCATACCCAAGGAAGACACACTTCTTCGGCTTAAGATCCAATTTTGAGCGGTGATACGGGTGAGCATTCGGTTTTTTTGGTTCAAAACCGAACCGAAAAAACAAAAATTTTAAAACTGATTTAACAATATGATAAACCGAACCGAAATCGAAATTTGTGAAAACCGAATAAACCGAACCGATTTTTTTTTTGGTTATTTCAGATCTTTCGGTTAAAACGGAAATTATTTAACTTGAGTCTCATTTCACCAAGATAAAAAAAATGTATACCAGTTATGTGGTTACTCGTTAAGTCAAGCCTTCTGTCAATATGTGTTTTATCCAAAACAGAGCAGCGACAACCGAGGAGGAAGATGCAAGAAGACCGGAGCTTGGAGGAAGATGCAGCGGCAGCCGCGACACTCGAAAATGATGGCAAGCCTTCTATCAGTCCGTGTTCTATGATTACCTGTCCAATTGATGTTTGATTGTGAAGACACATTGACTTAAGCCCTTTCTGATGGTACTATATGAGAAAAGCTGAGATAGAGGCAATCTCTTTTGTAGCAAAATAATTGAAGATGGTGTGAGGCAGGGCAGCCACTAACCAGCTAGCAACAGTACTCCGCCACGCTGCAATGGCAGTACTGATCCGACGAAGTAGAGTAGAATTCAAAACAGAGAGGTAGGCAAATGCAAGTGAGAATCTCTGCTTTTTGACCTACTGGGTAGTGGGTTCAGACATTCAGCTGCTATTTTAATTTTTTCTTTCACTCTTTTACGTTTTTCTTATTTCAGAAACTAGCAGGCGCCATTTTACTTGTTTTTCACTCTTTCGTTCTTTATAAATTATAAAATAAATAATATTAAAAATATATAATTATAATTGTAAATTGGTTTTTTCGGTTAACCGATTTATAAAGTATGATAACCTAAACCGAAACCCGAAATACAAAAAAATCAAACAACAAAACCAAAACCGACCGAATAACCGATTAGACCGAAACGGTTAAACCGAAACCGAAATTGCGGTTCGGTTTTGACCGAATTATGCTCACCCCTAAGCGGTGAGGACCAAGAACATGGACAAAGTATACACATTCAAACACCCTTAAAGGAATATGGAATGTCTCCCCCTCAGGAAAAAGAAGGCTGAACGGAGTGCTATATCCAAGAACACGAGAAGGCACCCGATTAATCAAGAACACTGCTGTAAGAATTGCATCACCCCAAAAACGAACTAGAACTGTAGAGCTCAATGTCATGCTTCTTGCTACTTCCACAATGTCTGTTCTTCCTTTCTGCTACACCATTCTGTTGTGGAGTGCATGTACAACTGCTTTGATGGATAATTCCATGCTCCAATAGGTATGATGGTAAGTTTTTTTCAAAGTATTCCCTGGCATTGTTTGATCTAAACACTTTCACACCCCAAACTGTGTCAACACCATCTGATGGAATTGTTGAACCAAAGACAGTACCTCATCATGTGATCTCATCAAATATATCCAAGAGTACTGAGAATAATCATCCACAAACAGAAGAAAATACCGTTAGCCACCCATAGAGGAAACATGGTATGGCCCCTACACATCAATATGATAAAAAACAGAAGAACATCTTTTATTACTTGCTTTAAAGGAATGTCTACAATGCTTTCCAAGTTGATAGTCCTCACACTCCAAACTAGACAAACTGACAGACTCAAACAATTTGGGAAACAAAAAATGCAAAGAAGCAAAAGACAAATGTCCTAACCGATTATGCCAAAGCATAATTTGATCCACTGACTCCGACTCAATACTCCTATTGACATGATGAATCTGATGATTGGGAAGCACATCAAGAAAATAGATTCCATTCACTTCATGACCACTCCCGATCGTCCTTTTTGATTCTAGATCCTACAAAACACAATGACCAGGGGAAAAAATCACAAAACAATTCAAATTCTTTGTCAAGCTACTAATAAATAAAAGATTAGTGCTCAGTCTAGGAACAAGGACAGAAGGTAGGGTAATGGTATCAGTTATCCTAACAGACCCTTTCCGAGCAATGGGAACATGTGATCCATCAGCTGTGGAAACTCTATCTCTTCCAAAGCATAGGTGGTATGAGGTGAAAATGGTGGAAATGTTGGTCATATGTTTTGAGGTTTTTGAGTCAATAATCTAGGGAGGTCTCCCTTTACCTATAGTGGATACATAATTTGCAATAGCATGTGAACTACCTGTGTGTTCAAACGAGGTAGAATGACTACCTCCTGATCCACCTGCACCTTGCTGTCCACTTGATAATGAGTTGGAACTGGCTGTATCCTTCTGATTCAGGAACTGCCCATATCTCTCCAATTCGACTCTCACTACAACTGCTGCAACAGACTCTTGCGAGGCTGTAGTAGGTGGCTTTGATAAATCCCCAATCATTGTTCCAACTTCTGTAATATCATACTCAGGGTTAAGTCCAGCTAAAAACTCAAAAACCCTATTCTTTTGTTCCAACTTCTGATAAGTTGTTGCATCTTTGCTACTTTCCCAAACCACAGTCTCCAAATGATCTATCTCCTGCCATAAGGTTTTGAGGGCTGAAAAATAAATAGCAACAAACTTATCTGCCTGCCTAGTATCAATCACTTGGTTTCTCTATTGATAGGCTCTAGCAACATTTTCATTCTATGAACAGGTTTCTGCTACTCCATTCCAAATCTCCTTAGCTGCCGATAAAAGTTCCTACTTATATGGGGCAGCATGGAATTACACAGCCAAGTCATCGCCATGTAGTTCACCTGTACCCATCGGGAATGGTTAGTTTCAGGTTTCTTTTCCTCACTGGTGACATACCCCAATTTCCCACGAGCACCAATGGCCATCTTTGCAGGTTGTGACTATTCTAAGTAGTTTGTACCATCCAACTTGATTGTAGTGATGGTTCCGGCCCCGAAGAGGTCTCCAACACCTCCTTCCCTGGATCCCATTTTTCCTGTAAATTTGTTTTCTACTCCACAACCCTCCATAATTCTCAGAATAGGTTAGGAAATCAATTTGAGATGAAAAAGAAGGTTTTTATCTCCTTTAGAAACCTCAAACATCCTCTTGAAACCCTAGAAGCCCCTTCCTCCAAAGATTCTTTTTTCCGTGGGAGCGGGAGAAGAGAGAGAAGAGGTTGTTGCTCCCTCCAGAGATCTCCAAAAAGGAATGGAACTTGAACCGCCCCCTTAAGAAAACCTCAAGGAACTCTAGAAAACTAGAGCGCCACTTTCTAGGTCAAAATTGAAGAGTCCTACTAAAACATGACTCTCCCCTTTCTCTAGTTCTTCCTGATTTTGGTGTAAAACCCTAGACCAGTTACAAGGGATTGCAATTCCACCAAAAAATCCAAAAACTGGGCTTACTTGAAGTCTTTGATCAGCCCTTTACCTTATCATGCAATTGGCCGATCTAAGGCTGCATGATGGAGCAGCTCAAGAAATCTTTAAACTCGCTCTGATACCAAGTAGAAAGGCTTGGACAACTTATTTTGATATAAAAACTGCAAAAGAAAGAAGAAAAGAAAGAGGAGAAAAGGTTTGAGCCAAGAAAGAGAGAGAAGAGAGATGGAAGAGAATGGGAGTAGCTCAGAATTAGGTCGGGCCGCCCCTTTCATTAGATTATATACTCATAAATAAAAGAGAGTACAAAGACAAGTATGCCCTGTCTGCTACTTGTGAGAACTTAAAAACACTCTACTTAAAACATAAAATAATGGGCCTAAGGTCCAATAACTCCCTAACTATGGTATGCAAATAAAAACATGTTATATCAGTCCAAACCTCAACAATATGCAGTGTGATTATACATGGAAAGTTCATATATTATTTGTGTTTTTTATTATTTGTTTACCTCATTGTGTCAAATTAAGCTATTTTACTCAACAAGCATGAAAGTCCATACAAAGGATGTGAGTAGCTTTAAATTGTAGTAGGGAATTACTTGTATTGTCTGAAACTTGTCTTACAACAAGCATGAAAGTCTACACACACACACACACTTGTGGTATCAGGATTTAATGTTCTAGGTTTCAGCTATGAGGTGTGATTAAGAAGTGAAATAATTTTTAATTTTTAATTTTTTTTGAATGGCATCAATTCGATTTAATGTTTTAGGTTTCAGCTATGAGGTATAATTGCAATTAGCTGTACTTTACAAAATTACTTAAAACAAATTTAAGAGGGGAAAAAGAAGAAAATTATTTTTAATTACATTCGGAATGTTATTCATAAAAAAATTACATTCCAAATGTTGGAGGTTACATGGGTATGTTTATAGTGTTGATAAATTTTGGGGACTTGTATGTATTTATGGGAGGAAAAGGGGCCTATGTAAAATTTTGATATAATTGGGTCTTTTGCTTATTTAAGCCATTGGTTGCATGGGATTAGGGTTGAGTGAGAGTGGACATTTTGTTGTGAGTCTGTAGAGAGATCAGCTTTGTATCTCTTATTCTCATAGTGGATGTTTTCCCTCTCTTCCTCCTATGGATGTAGGCTACTAAGCCGAACCACATTAAATCATGGTGCTTTCTCTCTTTCTTCTTTCTATTTTCTTCTTGGTTTACTATTCTCTTTTCTGCTGGTTGACATGGTATCAGAGCAAGTTTAGTGTGGGAATCAGTTTGGTGAATCAAGGAAGACTAGCAATCAAGTTGTTGTTCATGGTTACTATTCACGTTATTATTCATATGAGGTCTATGGTGCTTGAATCTATGAAACAATTTGTTAGGGACTTTTACCTTTCAATGAGGAATATTTTTCATCAATTTTCTGGAATTTTACTAGACCTCGAAAGGGGTGATACTGCTTCTCGTTGCTTCTTTTGGAAAACAGGAAAAAGCAACATCATATTTGGATTATCTTTCAATTTTCTCACACTTGCTTGGTAAACTAGGGCATCTTCCAGTCCTTATTTTTAATGATATTAAAGCTTTTTTTTGGATTTCCTCTTTTGTTGGCTCTATGCAAGGACTCCCTCTATGGAAGGATTTTTATTTTCCATCCTCATCTTGTGGGTTATACTCCCTGACATCTGAACTAGTTCATATCTTCAAGCAGATTCCGATTTCTATGTTGCATATAAACTGTTTGATTTATTGTCTTAATGGTTGGTTGTTGTTTAGTCAAGTTTGGTGTTTTCTTTGGGAGTTCTAATTTTGCAAAGAAGTGTTATAGAAGCTCTGCAACTTCTTTGGTCTGTTTATGATATATCAATGTCAACATGTGATATTGGATCTCAAGACGACTATTTGGTGTTCGAGAAAATGTCTCAATGGTGCAAAATTTCTGCAATGGTTTTCCATTGTTATGATCGGTTCTAATCTGATCTTTGTGACTTTAGTTTGATATTTGGACTATTTTGGTGAATGATGGGTCTCTTGTCATCGGTTAATAGTTAATATTTGGCTTGTTTACCTCATACATGTTTTGCATGGAAGAAGTTTAATGAAATGTTTCAGCAATGATAGTTTATTATACGCATCAATTATGAGTTATTGTTGAGGAAACCCTTGGAGTTTTGATCTCCTTAGGTGACATGGTATTTTGATTCACTTTATCTAGTTGGCTAACTCTGATTCTTTGCCTTGGTTTATGGAGTTCACCATAGTTGGCTTTCTTCTAGCCAACTCTATTTTGGTAATTTTATTGGCATTTTTGATTATCTAGTTGTTTAACATGGTTGGTTCTTTAGTTCGATGATTATGATTGGCCTTTTGATGGCCAACTTTGATTCTTTGGCATGATATGTGTTGGCTTTTCGTTGTCTATCTTTAGTTTGGTGATTACTAGATCATGATTTAGCTATACTCTGGCTTCCCGACATGATTTCATTCAGCTTTCTAACATCCAACTTTGGTCTCTAAAAGGCCCCTTCAACATCTCAAGTTTCATGGTTTCTATTTCAATAGTACACCGATTTTCATGGAGGTTGCTTCAACATCCTTGCAAACTCAAGTTGGTTTCCTCACTTTGAATTTGAGGGAGGGTGTAGAGAGAGATATTGTATTTGGGATTGCTTGCAGGGAGGGTGTTGAAGGTTACATGGGTATATTTGTAATGTTGATAAAATTTTGGGACTTGTATGTATTTATAATAGGAAGAGGGGCCTATGTGAAATTTTGATATAATTGGGTCTTTTGCTTATTTAAGTCATTGGTTGTGCGAGATTAGGGTTGAGTGAGAGTGCACATTTTGTTGCGAGTCTGTAGAGAGGTTAGTTTTATATCTCTTGTTCTCATAGTGGATGTTTTCCCTCTCTTCCTGCGGATGTAGGCTACCAAGCCGAACCACTTCTCTCTTTCTTCTTTCTATTTTCTTCTTGGTTTACCATTCTCTTTCCTTCTGGTTGATACTCAACACACCTTCAACTGTGAAATTTAAACAGTCAAATATAAAACAACAAAATTGTAAGGTGGAAACTGGAGCATGGTAGTATTTTCCCCTTCTTTTGTTCTAGAATTTCAAAAGGCTGTCTCAGAGAACCCTGAGATAGGGACTGTTTTCTAGCAAACCAAAAGAGTCATGCTAGAAAGGTTTTAGAGGGACTTGGCAGATAGGATTTCAAAACCAGCCAAAAGACTGACCCTGGTATCAGATTGAAAAAGTAGAGGCTGAAAGGGTAAACAAAAAACCAAGGTTCAGCTAATACAGCAGATGGGGATCGGTCTGTATCGTTGGACTCTTTTTTCTTTTTTTTTTTTTTTCTAGCATTTTTTTTTCAAACCTGTTCGGGGGGTTGGTACAAGGCCTGTCTACCCCCTAAAACAGATCAACCCCCCAAAACCAAGCCTAAAGTGGTGTACCGGTAGGTCACTGATATGGCCTGACATGTAACGAAATTTCAATCCTTGCAAAAAACTACCAAATATTGCAGAGCAGTCAAATGATTCTAATCAGAAATTGTGCTGGTCTTTCTATATGGTTGGGAAGCCTGGATACCTCTACACGCCTAGTATGCTGTTGTCAGATATGATACTTGTTGGATATGATGCTGGATACTGTATGGATTTCCAGATGTACTTCACAGCATTTAACACTTTGAAAATATGTAAAATGGTATGTTTTAACAAATTATACTAGAGAAACCCATGAAAAAAAATTATACTTAATAAGATCTGCACGTGTTAGAAATTTAATTAAATATAGTAAGACACAAATCTTGAAAAATGACATTTAGCTTCGAAAAACTAGACAAACTCATGATATAAGTGTATTATTACATGGGATACTTATATCAGTGTCCAGGATTTTAGGAAATGGAGAGTTGTATCTCCGTTTCCTGTATGTGTCCATGTCTGCATGCATGTCTGGGCATCAGAGATGAGAAGCAACAGACAGGGATCGTTCTTTTTTTGGTTACTAAGATCATAACTTTTCTTTTGACATTGCAAATGCTTCATTTCAGATAATAATCTTGGTTGCGGCTGGAGGAGTATACAAATTTCCTTTCATCAATGGCACTGCAGATTTGAAAGAGGCGTGCAGAAACTGGGTTCCATCCCCTCCAGCAAAACTCTGGTAACAATAGAATTTACTTTAAATGAGAAGCATTTTGCTTTTGTGAGGCCATCTCTGAAACCTATGTTGATTCCCATGCAGGCTGTTGAGGTATTGCGGGCTCCTCAAAACGAAAATGACGCTGTCAGAGAGGAAACTGCTAGAAGATTACCCACTTTTGAGGCTGAGGCCCTTGTAACTTTGAAGAACTGCTTTAGCCTTGTTCATAACTCATAAAAGGTAAGCTGGTTTTAGGATATGATTGGGATTTATAGAAAAGAAATATCTATAAAGAAGGGCACATGTTTTAGTCGTGTAAGATTAAATGCGTGTGTTTACCTGCAACCCTTACTTCATTTTCTTCATTTTCATCCTCGGATAACCCGCCCCTTCTGGCTTGTCATGTGAAAAATTTGCCCTAATGAGTTGGAAGGAACCGGTCCCTAGTGCATCATCATTTATGCTACCTGTGAGAATTAAATGGCTGAGCGGAATATCAACTGTTTGAGCACCGGCAAATGGCAACCTGCAGGAATTAGCTCCCGTAGTCCCATTACAAGGCTTGATTGAGCTGATGTCCTCTGGTTTCGTTGGATATCGTCTTTGCAGGGTTGGGGTCCATTTACAATTTCAGCTTTCATCCATTGAAACTGCTGAAATAGAGTTATCAGTTATTCCAAGACCCAATACAGATGGTTAAAGGCCCATTAAATTTAACTATGTGGAATTGAAGTCTCTACAAACAGCCTCTCATACGTGCATCTTTTAAGACATGAATGTTTCAAGTTTCAACTATGTAAGAATGCCAAATAACAGTCGTATGTGATGTCATAAAATCAGGGCGGGGAAGGAGCGGTGGAGATTAGTAGGGGTGCTTATCAAAAAGCAAACTGAAGTAATGAAATTAAATAAAAAAAATCTGGTTAACCGAATTAATTGTCGGTTTGGTATTTTTGAAAAATTGAAGGTACCGATTTATATTGGTAAATCAATATGAAAAATCGGTAGTTAATTGAACTGACTATGTATGTATGATCTAAAAATTTGTAGATATTTTATCATTATCTATACACGTTATATATAAATATAATATAATATGTTATATATATTTAGTGCTTATATTATATATTTATATAATATAAAGTGAAAAATTCAATCAGCCAAAACTGAATTGATCAATGGTTAACCGATGGGTTTTGGTTTACGGTTTTTCAAATACTAAAGGACTGGTTCAATTTGAAAGAGGCCCACCGTTCAGTTAACCGAACTGTGAGCACCCCAAAGAGAAATGAGCAGTGAAAAGTGAAAACCCATCACATTCCCTACAAGAGGAATGGAACTAGAGGAAACATCCATCTCTTATTTTTTAGAAATAGGTCTGAACTCTGAACATCCCCCAAGTTAGAACTAGCCACAAGCCTCCTTCCCTGGTTGACAGAATTTCTCAGGATATCTTAGAAAACCTCGTTAATCCGAGAGGTTACAAATCTATATTTTTAAGACTAGGCCCTTCTCTTGATCCAGATTCTCCAGAAGTACCACTGACAACTGCCAGGGACTAGGGAGAGCGTTCTAACCACATAAGGAAGGCCGAGGAGTGGAGATCGATTTTGATAGAAAAACGTCATAATAGAGATAGGGTTGGAGATCAACTTTTTATAAGAAAATGGTCGATTTTGTTTGAGAAGAGGCCGCAATGGATATCTTGGATGTGATAATTGTAGTTGTAGAATCTATTACTCATAGCTGTTTTGGTAACTCAAATTAAAAAAAAAAATATTGTCATTTAATGGGAGCCTGGGAGTGTTTTCATGTTATTACACATTTCAATCCGTATTTTAAAGGAGATTCTCTTACAGGGAGAATGCGTATGCCTATTTTTTAGAAGCATAAGAAATTTCAGTTACTTTTAAAAATAAAAAATATTACAAAAATTTCCAGAAAAACAAAGGAAAAATATTGCACACATAAACGGTCACATTTGAAAGTAAAAAATATTGCTTCAAGAAAAGGGTGGCTAATTAATTTAAGTATGTGTTTGGTATAGTTTCCGTTTATTAAATAAATATTTATACTTGATTTATCTTCAAAACCGAGAAAAGTATTTGATAAATCGTTTATGAACAACTAGGTGCCACATCAGTGGAATAGTGAATAAATGCTCAACTATTGGGAGAAGTGTTAAAATGAAACTTCCCCTAACGGTTGACATGTACATAAATCAAAACCCATTTTTTCAAATATCAATATATATGAATAAATATGATGGAAAAATAGCTAATTTAATGATGACATGGTGGCATTTTGATAAATGCCTATTACAAAACGCCCACTAAACAAAAACACACGTTAAATCTATACTACTAATAAAAGAGCGAATAACCCCATTTTCTGGATTTTTTATTAAACATTTTTATCTCTTATCTAAGCAACATACAACGGGAATAAAAAAGGGCATATATGTCTTTTATTCTCAGTCCAAAAACTGCCCACTTATAACAGTTAAGAAACTGCCTACTTATAACTATTCAAAAACTGTCACTTATAACAGTTAAAAAACTGTCCACTTATAACTGTTCAAAAACTGTCATGAATTATAAATAATTGTCTTGGAGATACTGTCACGTGAAAATACACATATATTTACTAGTCTTACAAAATAAAAGAACGAGAAGAAATACACAAAAAATGAACAAAATCATTTACCAGTTGAGTGCTGGGATGGAGGGGGAGAGCTTGGCTGTTTGGGAGGATTCTGTGCATGACACGTTACCCCACTCAGTCCCTGCTTGTTTTGTGGCTAAAAGAATATTGTCTCCTGTGGTAACGTGTCGCGCTGTGCCATGCACTGGAAGCTTTCAAACAGCCTTGGGCTGTATTTTCCAAACATCCAAACTTCTTTTTTCGGGGGTGGAAGATATTAAGGGCCACCACACTTCTGGAGAGGACCCGTACACTTGTGCTTGCACAAAGAAAAGCATTAAATGATTCATAAATTCCTTTATCCTTGGTGAACAACAACCATCTGCCTTTCTTGTTCATTCTGGTACTAATATGTCTGTAGAAATAAAAAGAGATGGTGATATTAATCTTTGTAGATGGCTTTTTCATATCGAATCGGCGTTCTGCAGTAGGCTTTATCATCTTGTCTCCTAATTATGGTTTTATTGCAGTAATAGTGAAGCAGTTCAGTTCGAGGTCCGGAGCAAGCAGAGCCAGAGGACTGGGCCAGTGTTAATTCATTAAAGTAGGCTTTGAGAGGAGCTTGAATACTTATTCAGTTAATCTTCTTCAACCATGAAGAGTAGATGGATGGAACAAGCCTTCATCCAAGAACTAGAATACTTAATGAGTCTTTTTGATAGTTGTGATTTGTCTTGTATAAGAAGATAATGTAATAATGTGATAGCTCATAAGGTAGCAGGTAAAACTAGACAAGAAGGATACTTGCAATTCACCGTTTCTCCACCCAGATGGGTATGAGAATACTTTTTGGCTCAAACACAGCATGGAGATGTAATTCAATCTCCTAATGAATCTTCTTTTGCCAAATAAAAGAAAATGAAAAAGTTATAGTTTTCAAAGGATTTACAAGATTTGCTGAAGCTTTTGTCTGCCATTATGGTAATTTGACATACTACTTGATAGATGCTAAGCATAGTTTGATTCCTTTGCTAAAGTTAATATAGATTCCCGGGTCCATTTAATGATGGATCTTGATGCTCCAATAAAGAATTTATGGCAAGCTATGAACCTTCTAGCATCTGTCCTTCCTCGTCTGAACCTTTAGTTCCGGATCCTTAAGAGCTAAACGACCCAATAATCTTATAAATGACAATCAGGTTAGAGGAGAGAGCCCAAATAAAGATGACCCACACCTTGGCTGGCAGCCAAAATAAGCCTTATCTACAGGCTTTTTGTTTTTATTTTTTTACTAAAAGTTTGACTTTGAAGGCCTCATATAAATCACGAAAACAATTCCAATACAAGGTGGTCACAAGACTACCTTGTACATTAGGGTTGGTAATTGGGTGGGTTGGGCTGTGATGGGTTCAATATTGTGAAATCTGGGCTGTTGCTAAACCTAGAAAGGCATCTGGGTCACAGTCAACCAAGATCGAAACATGATGATTACAATTTGTTGGTGTTTTATGTGTATGATTCAAATTAAAAATGTTATAAGTTGTGTAGCTTGTATTGTTTTCGCCATGGTTTTCAAAACTGGACTGGACCAGAAAAATCGGGAATCAGTCATTTAATCGGTTCTGTTTTATCCCAAAACTACTTTTTGGTCAAAAATAATTGATTTAGTCAGTGAACCACTAACCCAGATGGTTGAACTGTTGACCCAGACAATGGTTTTTGGCCGTTTGTTTTTGTTTTTTCTTTTAAAATTTTTCATTTTTTTTGTTAGAGTAAGCCATCCGATCGGACCAGATGGTTGGACTGTTCAACCTAGGAACCAGACCCCAAAACAGTTCCCTATCTGATCCGGTTTTAAGCTTGTGAGGTTATTAAACTCAGCTTGAAGCTTGGTTTAGACCGAACCAAATAAAGTTTTTCATGAGCCAAGCTTGAATAGCCTGTGAAAAATTCGGCTTGTGATCACCCCTAAATGCAACTCCATTGGCTGATAGGTATTGCACCAAAGGACACGTTCCTAAGAGAGACAAAAATGGTTTTAAGGATAGTGGTCTTCTGTCATGCCTCAGCTATTTTCCAATAAGCGTTCTCTATCTTTTTGTTTTGCACCTTAAATTTGATCATCACAGATTTGTTGCTGTTCTAGTTTCAATAGATATCTACTGCCATATTGATGCCACTAACAACTTCCATACTTATTTTTTCCAACTTAGTTTAATGGGAGAAGGCCAGAAGCAAATTGTTTTGATTTTAATGTTTAGCTAAAATTGATAGAGAAGGAAATCAAGCAGATGATCTCTAGCAAACAAAGGCCACCATTGTATGGAACTATGGATGCTTTGGACGATCAAGACTACTAGAAATTTGAAGGAAAAACATTTGAAGATGGTAAGGGAACAAGGGACGAGCTACCCGCAAGAACTGTGAACCTCCTCTTCCTGATATTATCAAAACCTTAAAGCTTCATGGGGTCATACCTCCAGGCCAGAGAAGTCGACCCATCAGCTATCGAGCTATGATTGCAAACAGTGGGGGACGGTTTGGGTACCCCACCAAGATCTACAGAATCAATATGAAGGATATGCAATCACGGGCCAAAGCCTAATCAGAAGGACATGCACAGGATAGTTGGAAAGGAAAGGAACCGGGTGTAAGAGGTGACAGGCACAAGCAAAATTTTCAACAGAGATTTCAAGTGATCATGGATTGCCATTTGTACGGTAACATACTTTTCTTCGCTTTTTCGTTGTTGAATTCAACATGGGAAGAGTGGGTCTTAACTCTTAAAAGTAGTTCCTTTCTTTTCTAAATTTATATGTCTATAAGGAATCTTGACCCACAGGTGATCCAAAAAAAACCCCACCTTTTATTTTTATTTTTATTTTGAGGACACAACGCTTCCATTTTGCACACGCACAACCCACCAAACGATGAAAAAGGTGAATAAAAATGATAAGAAAGAAAGCAAGTTACATCATCATCATGATCACATTATGAATGTGAGAAATTTCAAAAAGCATGAAAGCTTCACAATCATGCAAAAGAGAGCATCCAATCCACCTTTACCTCTCCCTATCTCACCAACCTAACCAATTAACCATTCAATTCTGTCCTACTACATCAATGCTCGTTAACTAAACTAAAACAAAGGCAATCTACTATTAAAATTTGGACTGAACTTATCCCCAATCACTCAATTCAAAAGTTGTCTACACAGTCACATTCAATCAGAGGTATCATTCTCAATTCTCATATTCATGGAAATTTCTACATGACCTTTCACCTAATTAGTTTATTGCTTCATCTATAAACAATCGGTATTTGGCAATAGGGGTGTCAATTGGACTGGATTTGGTCCAATCCGATCCAGTCCAATGTGAGCCCATTATAAATGGATCAGGTCCAATTCAATCCAATGAATGTTTTCGACCAATTTAGACCGGTCTAATTCAATATTTGGACCGTCCAATCTGTTCAAATTCATTTTGATTTAGATTGGTTTCAACCCAAACTCAGTCAATGGATCAGATATTGGCTTAATCCAACCCAATCCAATATAAATTTGTTACGGACGGACCAGGTCCAATCCAATCTAATAAATATTTTGGACTGGATTGGTCCAATCCAATATGTCTTGTTGGTCCGTTCAATCCGTACAAATTGATTTTGGACTGGACGGGGTCCAATCCAAAACCGGTCCATTGACACCCTTATTTGGCAATAACCAAAGGATGAGTTGCGATGCATGCCCAACCATCATAATAAACGGGTGCACATGTACGATCAACCTGGATCTTCCAATGGAGGTGCTGTCTCACGCATGCTTGTGTGGCCTGACTTTAGAGTCTGGCCGATGGACCTTCTGTTAGTCTGGGGTCGTCTAAAAGCATATTTTATGCTGACCTGCCCCTGGTATATAATGTAGCTAGAATGTAGATGTTGGGCAAAGGCCTAAAGGATGTACCAGATATATAATAGATTTAATGGTGTAACCTTATTCTGTGTGTGCATGTGTTTTATCTTTTTGAATGAAGTTCTGAAGGGCAAAGAAGAAAAAAGAATCTTGTTATCATGCTTTAAATGGATAATGTACATGGACTCAAATATCATCCAAGTGATCAAACTTGGAGAACCTAGAAGCTGTAAAATTTACATATTTTCTCATAATCACAAAGTCCCATCACCTCCATTTTGGTTTTTCCCAAACAATGGAGAGAGAGGTGGAGCTTAAGACTAGTACCAAATTATCAAGCAAAATATACAGCTTGTGTGCAGGTGTAACCTTGGTGAAAGAATCAAAGAGGGCCTTACAGAATTAAACGTCAACAGCATCAACTGGAAGGGATGTTGTCCGGTGAAGAGAGTATGGAAGCTGTGATCCAGTGTAAAAACTTTTGGCAGTCGCCATTTGATCTGGACTGGAGTCATTTTTCGCCTCACAATTTCGGGCCCTTGGGACTTCCGAATTTGGGCAGCTCTTCTGAATGTGAGTGGGGAAATAAGAAATAAAATGCTTCTCGGAGGCAAAAGATTTCAAGAGAAGTTCATCATTATCTCTTTGCAGAGGACTTGAAACTGGATTACATGTAACTCCATTATCATTTCTGTGTTGCCTGCTGTCAGGATCTGTTGAAGAACCTGAAACTTTGGGCTTAAGACCTAACTGATGATCTCTAAGTTCCCTCAGTTCCATTTGATGCTTTGCTTTGAGCCATCTCAATTCTTGTCTAATCTCATTCTCATAGTCATCTGTTAAGGCACAAGCTGGAGGAATTATTGAAAGAGACCGGTGCTTGGAGTTTCTTCCATTAAACGCATCTTGGTTCTCCATATCTATTGTTCTCTCATTGTTAGCATGATCCAAATGGTTGTGCTCATCAAAGTGGGTTCCTCCAGATCCATGTGAACTTAATTCAGTGTGTTCATGATGAGCCCAAATATCTGTATACTGTAGGCCATCTGATGGGCTTGATACCATTGGTGCACCTTCTGTAATGCAGTGCTCTGACCCCTCCACTTGGTATGTGATTTCTTCAAACCGACCATGCATAGCAGCACACCCATGTTGAGAACATTGACGTACTTGCAAATTGACACCCGGATTGTTCAAGGAAAGATAATCCAGAAGAGAGCCAGTGGAAGAAACATTGGAGGCACAATTCTGACAAAAGTTTGCACTTGTAAAATGAGGTGTTTCCTCTATGCCTGGCCCCGGCCTCCACTCTGGCACCAAGGATGCAATCTCCCCATCAATCATATCTGCTATCTTAGTCACATCTTGGTCAGTAATATCCAGCTCGGCAACCATTTCTGTTGCAACACTCAATGCTGTATCTGTCTCTATGTGAAAAGGGAAGTAGATGTTGCGGATACGCCCTACAGAGATGTTTGAAGAATTGAATTTAGTTTTATACCAAATGACATTTCAATAACAAAAGAAGAACAAGTAGTAACAGAAGAAACAGATATGATAGTTATGGCATGGGAATTTAATGAAACAAAATTAAACACTTGGATTTCTTACCTTCTTTATCAGCAATCCTGAGCCTTAAAAAGATGCTACCATCCTCTTTTCTTTTGCCCTTGATTGTGATGTCAACGTCTGTATAATGCTCATCCTCTTGGTAAGTGAAAAGTTCAATCCCACTATGTTCAATCTCGTCAGGGTGGTACACCCATCCATTCTCAGTTTCATAATTGGGTTCATGGGAGTACCCATTGATCCATGAGTTGTTGCTGTGATGGAGTTGAAAGAGAGGCTGCCTTAGAAGAGGACCCACATCATCAATCTCTCTCGAGCATTCTATTGGTCTTACATCAGATCCACAATCGTCAATTTGGAGAAAAGGGTCCTTTAAAAGCTCCCTCGCCGGGAGCCTCCGAGACACTGTGGCCAAGCATTTCTCTACGAATTGTCTAACTTCAGGATCCTTCACTTTATACAGGGCATCCGGTTTCTTCCCCTATAGAAAACAGAGTAACATGTAAATGGAGGAAGACCAGAGACGAGAATCATAAGCAAGCAAAGTTGAAGGGTTCTTACAGAGATAACTTTCTTGTAGATCTGAGCCGGATTAGTGCATTCACTATATGGGTATTCAAATGTGACCATCTCCAGGATGCACATCCCAAAAGAATATATGTCAACTAGTTCATTGTATTCCTCTTCATACACCTCTGGAGCCATGAACTCCGGTGTGCCTGAGTAGATACATAGACAGAAAACCCAGGAAAAATATATGAATGAAACTTCCGACTGAACCATTCTCGCTTAATCAATTAAGCTCCGCCAATAAGTTATAGAAAAAAAAAGGGGGGCATTGGGAATCAGAAACAAGTTATTGCGTTCATGCAAAACTCATTCAGCTTACAAGATCTCAATTATTTTTCTTCTGTTATAGATTATTTATGATAAAATTTCAGGGAGCTTGAAAGTTGAAACAGCTAAACGTACCAACACAGTGAGCGGCGTGGGATTTGCGGAGAATGGCGGCAAGGCCGAGGTCGCCGATCTTGATCTCCCCTTGGTTCCCATTGATAAAGATGTTGTCGCACTTGAGATCTCTGTGGATCACAGGAGGATCATGGCTGTGGAGATAGAGTAGACCTCTCAAGATCTGTCTACACCAATGCTTAATTGCTCTAATGTTAACCCTCCTGTGCTTTTGCCTATACCTACCAAAAGAGATAAGGAAAAAAAATGAGATAAAAAGGGCACTCCAAATTTTGAAGACCGGCGCACAAATCAATTCAAAAAGAAGAAACAACACCAGAAAAAAAAATTAAGAACTTACTGTCTAAGAGTCCCAGAAGTAAATAACTCAGTCACAAAGTTTATGTTCCTCTTTGCAGTGTCAACCCAAGAAGTGTAGAACTTCATGATGTTCTTGTGCTTCAAGGTTTTAAGTAAATGGATTTCACAGTAAAGCCTCTCAAGATCTTCAGGGCTCTGGAGGAAATCATAGAGCTTGACCTGGTTCCATGCAACTTCAATTCCTTCATACTCATCAAAGGCTCTGTAACTGCATCCAAAAACAGAATCAAGGGAACAATTATCAACTACCCATTTCAAAAATTGGAAATTACAGAAAAGTTCTAATTTGCAGATAGCAAAAATAGGTGAAGCAGAAAAATATGGGGATAGAGACACATACACTGTCTTGGAAGCTCCCTTACCAAGGATTTCGTCGTACTGGAACAAAAATGAAAACCACAATCAGTCTTCAACAAGCTGATTCAAAGAAAAAAAAAAAAAAACTGAGCCATAATAGAAACAGAGAATCAGAAGTCGGTAGAATGAATTACCCTCCCATATCTTCCAGTTGGATCAACTTCAACAAACTCAGAATAATCTGGTTCAGTAGATGAAAGACCATTCATTCTCTATTTCTTATTAGTCCTTGTTATGATTGCTTTCTCTCTATATCCTTTTCTCTTTCCGTTTTAACACAAAAAGGGGGGGTAGAAGAAAGAGAAAAGATGAATCAAAACACAAATGTGGAGATAGAACGACCGAAGGGGAGAAGGAGAGAGAGGGAGAGGGAGATGCACGAGTAGTCCTGGCGAGTCCATCAAATGACAAGGTGTTCCAACTCATATACATGGAGGCAACTCTTCAGATGGATTCGGACCATCTCCACCCCACGACAAAAACTGACAAAACCAGGAGGTCTCTCTCTCTCTCTCCAGAAGACTTGCTTTTCTAAGCAGAATACAACACGATTATGAGCAGGCAAATACTATTTGAGTATTGTAAATAAAACTGTTATTGGGCCTTTGAAGCTATTATGCCAATTCTATGATCTGGACCTGGGCCTACTGATTATGGTGAGGCTAAAGTTGCATGAGCAACTGAACATGCTATTAATTATATTTAATTTCAATGCATTTTATGTGAAAAAGTTTTTTTTTCTCGGAAATTAAAAAAATGGAAATTAAGACTCGGAGTGGATAAAATTTTGCTTTGAGCATTGGGCTGTAGTAAATAAAAATGATCGAAAAGGCATTTTAAGTTGTGTTTGGTATCATTGTTGTTTATACTTGGATTAATCAATACAAATTGAAATCGATTTTAGTGTTTATACTGTTTGCACAGCTTTTTTTAGCCTTGCATTGGGAATATTTTTACGGCACGGCTGAAAAAAGCTACCTAAACAGTAAGAAAACTGTTAATGCCATACAAATTAGTGAAAAATATATTGTCACATCACATGTAAGAGTTATTTCAACTGATTAGATTATACCCCATAGAACAAAACGTAACACCAATTTGACATTTCAAAAACAGCCTCTCACACATGTATTTCAAAGGTATGCCTATTTCAACCATAAATAACATCAAGGTTCAAAGTATAGATACATATCAGCCCGTATCGAGTGATACATATTGTACTGATGGGTTCCTAATATGCCCCTTCGGGGGTTGTATTGGGTCAGATATTGGTTCAAAGGGTAGCCGGGCCTTAAATCGATCCCTCAGAATCAGTTTCGAAAAAATAAATAAAACCTAAAAAAAGTACTAATACAGGCGCCCTACCGATGTATCGATCTGTGTCAATACTTTGAACCTTGAATAAAATAGCTCCGAATTTTATGATCAACCCAAAAAGCTTTAAACAAAAACAACAATAATACCAAATACAACCTAAGAAGTTTGGTAAGACTTGCTTTTAAAAAGTTAATAATTTAAAATCAAAACCTGAAATTTATCCAAACACAACCTAAGTAGAGAGAGATGTTTTTTTATCCACCCACGCCACCTTTTGTGTTGTTCCCTTTTTTTTCTGCCACGAGTGGTGATTTACAAAATATCGCGAGAAATTAGATCGCAGTGTTGGGCAGGTGAGAAATTGGAGACAACTCGGCCTTATGATAAGGACAGCAAAGTCTACTTTGTTCAAGTGAGTCTAACTTGAAAAAGAAATAATTAAATGACAAGAAAATTTCATGCAATGCCCATCTCGAATGAAGGGGTGCTTGCCTGTAAACTTAAGTAAATATGTAAATTATCATCATCTAAGCTTTGTCCCAATTATATTGATTTAGTTATATCAACTTTTTTATTTCTTTTGGAGGACTATACAATGAGAATAGTCCATCCCTCAACATAGGTGCAGGTGGGATTCGATCCCAAGATTCCGCTATGATCAATAAAAGACCTTATCAACTAGTTGATTGGCATCATGCAAATGGATTTAGCATGATTCAAATCCACACACCTAAGAAAGAACTTTGTTTGTCATCCTATCATCAAATTATGTGCTACCTACTATTTCTTCCCAAGTTCTTTTTGGCTTGCTCTTGGCTTTTCTAATCTCTTAACAAATCATTTCTTTTAATAGGTGTTGTAGATGGTTTAAACTAAGACGATGCTTGATATAGCTTCCATTTATTAGATGAATGATGCTAGTTCATCGCCATGCAGACATTTGCCTCTTGCTACTTGATAGGCTTGTTTATATAATGAACGTTTGTATCAGTTTATATGCAAGTCAATCGTTGGGGGAAGTTTCATTTTACCGTTTTCCTCAAAACAAAGGTATTTATTTAATGTTCGGCTTATGTGATGCCTAGCTATCAATAAACACTAGAAAAACGCTTATCGACCACTTTTTCTCGATTTTGAAGATAAATCAAGTACTGATGTTTATTTAATAAATAAAAACCATACTAAGCATCCCCTACATTATTAAAGCCATTGAATTATGTGAACTTGAATCCAAAGATCGGATCAGTCGATTGGTTGAGTTAAAAGTTCTCACCCTTTCCCTCGATGTAGGAGAAATAAAGACAAGTTAGGCTTTACACTAACAATACACTAATATGCTTGGTAGTAAACATTCATTTGGTCCATTTGATCAAGGATAAGGTGGTCCATAGTAATGGGTTATGAAGTAACTCATCCTCTGCACTGATCCATGAAGAAATCCATGATTCATTGATGGCTTGGAGCCTGAAACTTGAGCGAATCCACTTCAGCTAGCTCACAGCAAACTAGCTCAATGGTAACTTCATTGGCCCATGAGGCATGTGGCTTCTGGCCGCAGTTGTCTTTGATTTTGAAGAAGCTCAGCTCCACATTTAGCAAGCTAATCAAACATTGCTAAAATGTCTTAATAAATAGGGCTGGCTTTGATTGGCATCACTCATTCTTAACCTGAATAAGTGAATAGAGAGACTCCACATGGAATGATGGACCCTACTCTCAGCCAGATTTGGTCTACCATTTCCTAACTGTCTCCATTCGGGTTGATATTTTCACCCGACCCGGACCACTGACCCTCATACTCATAATCATACTTATTTGTTTTGCAATTAAGAACCTTATTAGTTATACATCCAGCTGAGGTGGCGTGGAAGTGGAACCTTGGAAGGTTGGTAGCGCTACTAAGGACTGTTTGGATGGAAGACAGTTCTACGGCCAACACGGGTGCAATAATATCCTTTGGAAAATTGAGGCGTGATTTTATGACCAAAATGAAAGGACACAAAAGGACTACGTTAATAAAATACTTGGAGATGGAGGTGAGGTGATGCGCTGGCATGTGAGTGGTTGGGATGGTTTTTGGCAGAACAAACAAAACAAGCGAATGCAGCAAGCGATGCGACCCTTCAGCTTTACCGCCTTGACGTGACGTTGATGGCCGTGTGGGGCGCGCGATTACTGGTGGGTGATCGCTGCTCGCTGCTCGCTGCGGCCACCAGCTCAAAGCCTTTGTTCTCATGCGTCGTGTCATGGCAAAATAAAGCCAAAAACACTTTGTAACAACATCCCATGTTGCTCTGCTTTCTTAGGGGGCCGGCCCCTGTTGCCCTGTTGGTGTTGGATATCATGTGCTGTGAGGTTGGAGCTGATTTAACTCCACTAACTACGTTCGATTAAGATTGCTAATCAGTATTATTTGCTTCGGTGCTTCTGTTGATCATTTGGTTCAATTGGTGATTTTAGAATAGTGTTTTTGAATCGGTTGGACCTTTTGGCCTCGAAACCGTCTAGGCAATTGGTTTTCTTTCACCCTTGATATGTTATTTGATAAAAAACTGTTGACTTGATCGGTGACCTGTCAACCCGGGCAATTGACCTGTTGCTCTATTTAACCCGAATAATGATTTTTTATTATTTTTTAATTTGAAACAGCCTGTCTATTCAGATCGAATATTTAAACTGTTGGCCCAGAAAATAATGGCCAAAGCATTTCCTCTTTCGGATCGATTTTTAAAACATTGATCTGGAATCATGGAAGGCTGGAAGCCCGAATTATTGTCGATAGGTCTAGTCCGGATCATTCGATTAATAAATGTGCAGAACCAGTTCCAACCCAGAACCTATCCATACAATTATTAATCGGAAAATCGGGTCTGACAAGAGGAAACCCACTAATAATTGAAAGCTCACATGTAATTTGAATATATAGATTTTATAAAATTGATAAATTTAACAAAGCATATCACAATAAAAGTAGGGTGGGTTACTCGGCTAAGCCTTGTCCCACGTCCATTTCCATCTGCCCCAGCTGCCTCTTAATCTCTTATAGTCTAGAAGATATAAATACATAATTATATATAAAGCTAGATTGGCTTTTAAATAGTCTATAACAGTTAAAACAAATGCAGACCAGACCCAGTAGGCCAGTATGATTGGGTGGGTTTGGTTCAGTTCCGTTGGGTCTGTCCATCCATTAAGAGTTTAGATTTGCTACCAATAAATGCTCACTACACTTTCTCATTTTGTCATGACAATGCTTTAAAAATTGACCCGGAACCCGAATTGTTTTGGCTATCAGTTTAACCGTTTGGTTTGAATGGATGATTCGTTTTCATTTAAAAATAACAAAAAAAAAATAAAACCATCGATAGTGTTAAATGGGTCAACGGTTCTGCCATTTGGGAATATGGGTTAAGGAAAAAAACCATGAAGTTAAGAGGAGATGTTCAATGTGTGACTGGAGTGGCATGTTGGGACCAACGTTTTTGAACTGCCATTGATCCGAACGATCAGACCATTTGGCCTGGGAATCATTCAGGCAATCGGTTCTATTTTATCTTAAACCCGGAATTTGATAAAAAACCATTGAAAAAATCAACAAACCATTGACCCAGGCGGTCGAACTGTCGATCCGTTCAACAGTTTTTGACCTTTTTTATTTTTTAATTTTGTTGTTAGAACGGATCATCCATTCAAACCAAACAATTGAACTATTGACCCAAAAACCAGTGGCCACAGCGATTCCGTTTCCAGGTCATTTTTTAAAACGTTGGTTGAGATAGTATTGCGAGGATAATTAAGTTGGTAGTAGATCCCTACCCATCCATTAACAGCCCCAACTAGTGGCCCAACCAAACCAACCATAACTAAGCTCAAGGCATCATGACGTGGTGATGACCTATGGCCATTGTCCCGCAAATATTCAAGTCACCTTCTAGGTTAGGTGAGTCCAGTTCTTAAGTTGTAACCACTAAATAACCAACACCAGCCAATTTTTCTGACTCTCCAACAGGTAGTAGTGTGGGTCTGTGTGATGGTCTGGACACAAAGGATGCGACCGATGTTCCTTGGTTCTGGATTTAAGTTCATTGCAGGCCCACAAGTTCTTCCATTGACGTTCAGCTCTTGCACTGTCATTAAGGTCAATGTCTTAAGGGCATGATGAAATAATGCTACTCTGGTCAGTGGTCTCCCAGA